CGTGGCTTGGGGGACACAGCTGAACTACAACAACCCAGAACCTAAAGGGCAGTGACCTTTCTCCTTCAGACGTGTGGTCTGGCTGACCGGTGTGCCGGCAGCCGTGGGAGTCTGGTGGCCGTGGCCTGCGCGGCCGGGATGAGTGTGGGCACCAGTTAGAGGACTGCCCGAGGCAGTTTCTCCTCTGGGCTGTCTCTCCCAGCAGCGTGGACCCTGCCAGTGGCCAGCAGGCAGGCGCCCCCTCAGGCCTGGCAAGCAAGCACAGGAAGAGCCGGGAGACTCTCACGCTTGGCTCTGGGGCGGAGGGGGTGTGGGGCTGGGGGTTGCCTGGAGCACAGGCCTGCGGCCCTGCCCTGCCCACCGCGCCCAGCCCCGAGGCCCCACCTGGCACCTACGTGGCCCCATGAGCTCTCCACTCTGCTACTTTCCGGGCCTGGTGGAGGGGCTGGAGGGGCTGCCTTCCGGCACCCTGTGGTGGGTGGGGCAGTAAGTGGGACCCCTTGGGCAGCCCCAGCGCCTGAAAACCTGCCCTTTGTGGCCAACCCTCGGCTCATGCTGCCTGGCTGAGAGCATCCCGGGACAGGAGAGACAAAGGTGCTCTGAGATCTTTAGCCCCAAACACCCAGTGGGGGCCCTGGCCACGCCGGTCAACCATCTCATTGTAAATGGGCAGAGTGCGGTGGCCTAGCTCAATGTTTGAAAAATTAAATCACCTGAAAAGAACATATCGGCAAATTCCAAGGTCTCGAACCAAAAAAGCCGCCCATTTGCTTAGTCACTGACAAGGAGCCGTGTCAGCGAATGTCCCGGCGGGAGGTGCCGGGCGCCACAGCATCTCGGCCACTGGTGCGCTCTGCCACATGGGCGGGGCGGGTGGGGGCTCGTGTCCGGGGGTGGCGCTCCCCCCGGCCCCCCGGCTCCCCGACTCAGTAGATGCCTTGCTTCGGCCAGTTCAGCTCACGGGCGTAGGCCCCTTTGCAGCTCCTGACCTCGTCTCTGCGCTCCAGGCTCTGGTTGAGGCCCGGCACCCCGGATCTCCAGCCGATGAAGCCCTGGGTGGTCTTCGGGATGGGGGGGGACGGAAGGACCTGGAATGGACACACAGGAGGTTTCGGCCGGCCTCAGTCGCGCGTCAGGGAGCAGCAGGAGGAGTGAGGATGGAGCCGGCCCAGGCGGGCCTCAGCCAGAGTCCGGCCCGCTGGGCACGGTGCCACCGTGTGCCCCAAAGTCCCGCAAGGACGGGCCTTGATCTTGCGACGGTGAGCACACAGAACTCCCCAGCTCAGGAACAGTTTTGTTTGGCAAAAGAAGGAAAAGCCGGGAGGAAAAGTGAGGTACAGGAGGTTCAGACCGGCGCCCACGCCGGACGCCTCTGGGCCACCCAGACACACCCGCAGACACCTCGAGCGGCTGTGGAGGGGGTGGGGTGGGGGTGGGGTGAGGTGGGGGGACACTGCTGCCCGGGCAAAGCCCAACACGAGTTCTTGGTGAAGTATTGAAATCCACCTGCTGAGAGGCGGCTGAGAAGGCCCTCGCAAAGGTCGGGTGCAGCTCCCTGCGGGCAGAGGCGAGGGGCGCCTGCGGGGAAGCCGGGACCCACGCGCCGGCCTCCGAGCCTCTCTGGCTCTAAGGGACCCGCCCTGGGGAGCGGGGTTCACTCCGCGGGAGCGGAGGGGGTCACTGCTGACGGGGAGAGCTGCCTCCCCGGTGAGACCGGCCGGCGAGCTTCCGGAAGAGTGAAAACGCTCTGAGCAACCTGAAACCCGCCCCTCGGCGTTCAGCTGAGGACACCCCACGCGGGCCGGACAGCTGAGGACACCCCACGCGGGCAGACAGCGGACACCTGCACCCCAGACACACACTGCGCACAGGGCGCACCCGCACCCCGGCTCCGCTTCTGCCTCTGCACCGGCCAGGGGCTGTTTCTCACTGAGGGGCGGGGGACTGACCACGACGGCCCACCTTGATGTATTTCTCCACCGGGGTCACTGGCCGGATGTGGAACCGCTGAGGAAGCTGGATCCTGGGCTTTGCGGCCGAGGGCTCCTCCTGGCTCTTGACCAACTGAAACAGAATCCCCGGAGGTGGCCACGCCCGACGGGCGGGGACGAGGGGTGGGCCAGACACTGCTTCTTTCAGAGTCAAGGTCGGGGCTCCGAAGCCCTAGGTAGCTCGTCCCAGCGCACAGAAAGCTGCGTGGGGTCCGGCTCACACGCCAGCCGGTGGGGCCGACACCCACTCACCGCTCAGTGACCCTGAGAATTGGCATCCCCAAGTATGACCGCAGGAAGCTTGACGGTTATGGGCTCAGCTTAAAAATGCTGACAAGCTCCCAGGACCAATCTTAACACACTAGAGGAGCGTCCCCTCCCCCTTTAATTTTTAAAGCAATTTTGAACTCTTCAAAAACCCAGTTTAATTACATATAAAGAATATTAATATAGGTTCCTTTATGCATATTATATTAATAAGGACTCATTTTATGCATAAAATTTCAAATTGTGTAACTCTCTAAGTATTAAAAGGACTCATTAAGAGTGGCATCATTCCAAAGCCGGCGGGATGGGGTGAGTCACAAGTGGGGTTCACGCTGCCTTGCCTCTCAAATGTGGGGAGCCGTGTGGTTTTCTGCGTGCTTCTGCTTTCCTCCCACTGGCCTAAAAGGCCAGCTTCCCGCTGAAGGACACCAGCATCTGGGTGGGGTGCAGATGGGGTCGTGGGATTCTGGCCCACCATGCTCGAAGGTTTCCCACACGTGGACTCTGGGACACGCAGCCTCTGCCTGGCAGCCCTCAGCCTGGGGGTCGCTCCCTGTGACCCCACTGCAGTCACTCCTGGCTCTTTCTCCGATGGGAAGTCAGACCAGCCCCCCACTCATTAGCCTCTGCACCCCCGCTCATTAATCTCCTAATCTGTGACCTAGGCATGAAACGGCCCGCCCTCTGCACGCGAGGCGGCAGTGGGCTGACGGGAGGGGCACCCCTAGGACGCGGGCTGTACCCCTCCGGAGGGGAGGGGCGGCGCCTCAGCGGCAGCCTGCCTGGGCAACGTGCTCTCGCTCTGTTCTTGCAAGCTCTGCACCCGGTAACCGTGTAGGCTTTGAACGGACCGATTCCGTACCTCGGGGCTCATAAAATCTGCACTTACCTCCTCCAGAGGGGTTGTCAGGAATCCCCAGTTCTGGGCCCAGTTTTGCCGAGCTTCATTTTCAGCCTTCAGGCGGTATTTCCTGCAACGGAAAGGTCCTCAGCCGGTGGCCCCCGCCCGGGGCGGGAGGCTCTAATGGTCAGTCTCAGGGCAAGGTGATGTACTGAGGGGTTCCTGCGGGCCAGGGGCTCACCTGAGGGGACAGCTGTCTGAAGAGCCTCACGCGGGCTGCCCAGCGGGGAGCAGACAGGTCAGAATGGGCTGCAGGGGTCCCTTCCCTGATTCCGGAGGCCCCTGACCCGCCATGCGCGCCTTAAAGCACCTCGCTTCCGAGAGCCGGGCATCGTGCAGTTTCCTGCAAATGCAGGACCAGCGGGCCTGGCCTTGGGAGGTCCCCTCACACGCTGCCTCACTGCCCGGCTCCGCCTCGCCCCTGCGCCCAGCCCCAGCCCTGCTTTTTTCCACACTAAGCAAACTTTTATCTTAGGATGAGCTGAGATGAATTTCAGGGAGGAGGCTGGGCCAGATTTTGCAAACAATGACGCTGCTCCTGCTGGTGCCAGGCTTCCGAGTTGGAAGCCTGGAGGCCATGCTCTCTCCTGGCTGCGTGCAGACCCTGCCCCGTCACAGCCTTCTGTCAACACGGGCTGCACATACGAGCCACAGGTGCGACTTCAAGTTCCCTGACAGCCGCATTTGAAGAAAGGTCAAAATGACGAGGTACATTTCGTTTTAGAATAATTTTTTGCTGTGTCCTTTACATTTCTAGCCCATGGAATCTGGGCCAGGCCCTGCTCCCCCGGACCTGGCCGCAGGCCCAGGGCCTCAGCAGAGGGGCCGTGAGGGTGGGTGGGAGTTGCCTGGTGGGGACGGGGAGGGCACTGACATCCGCTCTTCCCGTGGGGTGTGGACCGAGACGCTGACTTTTTAAACTATTCTGCGTGTGTTTTAGGGCAGATACTAGCTGCTTTCCGTTCACGGGAACAACATAAAGCTTCCTATGAAGTTAAGTGCACCAAGTGCATTTTCCTTTAGAGGCTCGTTTAAAGGAAACTAGTATGAAGTGACTAAAACTTTCAGGGGTGTTAACGTCAGGTGGCAGCTGGCCTGGCGGCGTATGGGGACAACGGGCCTGGTTGCCCATCACCTCTCCTTGCTCTCGCGCACCGAGTCAGCGCTTCTCTCAGAGGTTGGGGCTTCAAAGGGGCGGAACGACCTTTAGCCACTGGGCAGCATGCCAAAGGACAACACCCGCTGCCAGTGTCTGCCAGGCTTCCAGAAAACGGATCTGTTTCTTACGACTTAGAAAAACAGGACAGCCGAGTCTGTGAAGTGCACGCACACTTCTCATTCAAGCTGAACAAATACTAAGCTTCTCGGTGTCTTCTAGAAAGCCCAGTAAGTCTTAAACACGAGAAGGCGCCGGTGGGCTCTGTGCAGGGAGCTTTGCGGGCCGTGGGCCTGACACCACCCTCCGCGGGTGTGGGGTCTGCGGGGAGGGCTGGCGCCCTCGTTGCGCTGCTGTCCCCAACAGCACCCCGCTGCTCAGGCCCCCGGCCAGCCGACTGGCAGCGCCCAGCGGGGCCCACCTCCCGGCCTGGGGTGGAGGCTGGGCGGCGGG